TCTTTAATCCTAATAATCCTAATTGAACAAAGTACTATATTCTTTCCTATTTAAAAAAATAATGAAGGAATGGATGCTGGATAGCCATGGGTTTCTATATCTAGTCTAAAATAGCTGACTTCATACAAATAAAGCCCTTCAAGTGCCCTCCTAAAGGCATCACTCTTTCTTTCATAATTGAAGTTTGTTCAGAATTCATGTTTTAGCCTTTGCAACCTGAATATTCCCCCCCGACAAATCAAATGAAAAGCACTTGTTCATCGAGATAATTTGGATATTTTACAGAAAGTAATTTAAATATACTTCTCTATTTATATTCTGGTTTTTATTCTGTTTAGTCATCTTATTTCCCATAAAGTTCTAAATACCTCTAGCTATCCCTGGCCCACTTTTTCTCTCCCTAATTTTGCTAAATAATCTCTTATGTTGCCTTCTGAGCTGAAGGCAACAGCCTTTCTGCTAACCACGGTTAATTCTCAACTAGAATAGAGAGGCGAGGCTGAAATGGCTGAGCAAAGGCTCCATCACTAAGTGTCACCCCAAGTCAAAGCCAGTGAGCCCCACATCTCTGGAACAATCTCTGCCTTTCTAACTCCAGGTAAACAGAAACTTCACATTTCTGATTACCATCCAAAGTAGGCAGAAGTCAGCTAACAACACAGAGCAGCAGAGCGACTACCCTCAGCTCAAAATAGCAAGGCTTCTCCGGCTCAGCACCTGTGCTGTGGAAGCAGGCTCCGTAAAGACAATGCCACTTGGCACAAGGGTGTTAAGGACACATCTCTGATAATGGAGAGAAACCTTCATTCTTATATCTGAGAAAAAAAATATGATGCTTCCAGAGACTTTTTCTTTTTTGTCTTTCTGATTTAAAAATGGCATAACTAATCAATAAATCTTTAGTAATTGTGTAACTTTCTAAAATACAATAGGTGATAGGTGGTGTTCAAAGAGATAACACTCACCATAACAGCAATCTTTATAGTCTTGTTTGAGAACTGGACATATAGTTTAAAATAATACACCAACATTTATTGAACTTATATTTAAAGCAAATTCTATATTAAATTAATGACCTTCTTCACAGACACATTTGCTTTCCTATCTATTTTAACATTTGATGATGAGATGATGGCTTTTTCCTAAAGGATCAAAATGAAGTTTATTTTGAAAGAAGGTAAACATCTCTTTCTTTAGAACCATATCACAGAAAAGCAAATACAGATATGTCAGTAGTTTCCAAACTCTTTCCCATGGGGATACTTGCATTCAGATTTCTAAGCCCTAAAACCAAGAATCCTGACTTAATTCGGCATAGGATTGGGGTTCAGTTATTCTGAAGTGCAACCATGTCGATATGTATGGCATGAACACAACTCATATTTCTTGTGTATGTAAATGTTTTTCCTTTCCTCCCTCCCTTTCTCTATTCTTTCCATAGCCAATTGCTAAGTCCTAAACATTAGAATTGCAAATATATGAGAGATATGGTTTCTGCCCTTAAGGAGCATATAGAAAAGTGAGGGAAAGGGGCAGATAAAACAAAACGTAGAACACAGTGTTGTAAGTACTACACAACTGAAGGATGCATAGAGCTCTGGGAGTGCATGGCAAGACATCACTATTAGATCATGGGGTCATAAAAGACTTTTCAGAGAAAATGATGCATAGATCGGGTCTTGATGTTAAGTGGATTTAGTCATCATCTTCTAAGTTAGAACTTAGAACCAGACGAAAGAGACAGAACTGGAGGCATGAATATTATGAACTGAAACTTAGTTAATAATAACTAGGTAATAACTACTGAGGCCACTTACCTTTCACCATAAGTGACGCTGAGCTCATCCAGAACCCCGTTGAGTTTAACTTGAAGTTCTTTTAGAATAGTGCTAGCTTCAGGATCTAGCTGCAGAGGGACCACAAGCAATATTACTTTGGAGTTTTGAGAAGACATGCCTTTGTTTCTTTTACAAGCATTTTGATTGTTACATGATAACTTCGAACAATACATAAATACTTTTTTCTCTTCTCTGTTTTATTTTTTTTTGTCTTTGAAACCAATGCAAAAGTGTAAGAAGTTGTAAAGAAACCAGGAGGGTGCTTATATATGAAAAAAATTGATTGAAATGCATGGCATGCATACAAATAAGAACTATAATAGATAGCAAAGCCTTTGTTGGTTACAGCAATGGGATGCAAGGCATGACAAAAATATCCTCCAGGACATGATAATTTCATAATTTAGAAAGCTAACATGTTATACACTAGCTGAATATGTGTTGCTTTAAAATATATTTTAATCTTTGATATCCCTATAAATAGGCCCAGTAAAAGTAAAAATTCAGTTAAAAATTAATTTTTGAGTATTGTGCTGTGCCTTATTTTAAGGTGTTTTCATATTTTCCCAACTTTGGAATTAACAGTGATAGGATCAGGTGCCCTCATGCTTCTCTGGAGTTGACAGGCCTGATTTCCCTTCCTGGATGCCAAATTGCAACACAAAGTTCAAGATTCAAAGTTTCAAATTTTATTTTTATTTTTTCTTTAAGCATTCAATTATTTATAGCTTGGGGATAAGCTCGTGCACCAATTTGGAGGCAAAAGAAAAATAATTAGATAGAGATAACTTATTTTTAATGCTTATTCTTACAGTACAAATTTTAAAGGCCAACTTTCATCTGGTTTGTCCTTAAAATATTGTTAATCAATACTACAAAATAGCTTGTACTATAAATAACAAAAACAAATAGATACACCAATCTATTAACTCGGCACCATTTATTTTTGTAATTAAAGTGAAGTATCGACATATACTTTACTAAGTATCTTAGAAAGGTTTATATTGTTTGCTAATTGTGTTTTTGTAAGTTGTCAAAAAAAAACTCACAAAACTTATAATAGTTGTATTATAGCGGGCAGAGAGAAATTCAAGTAAAAGGTAATCTGAAATATTGTTTGAAATTGAAATGTCAATCTTCTTCCTCTGAGTCTTCAGAAATTTAGTTTCCTACCATTGCTATCTTTAGTTCTTACCCAAGCTGGTCTACTATTGAAAAGGAGAGGTTGGGATAAAGCCCACTTTGGAAAATAAAGCAAATTAAAGCATGACTTAGTATAAATAAGAGAATCCAAGAAGGACACCAAATATATATAGGACCCAATATCAGCTTAAAGTCTTAGGAGCCAATTCAGGACCAAGAAGTATCCCTAAAAGTGTATAGTGGACATAAGTCCTATACTCCTTTAAGATTACTTTCTAATACTAAAAAGCTGTTAGGGAGAAGTATTATTTACATGCCTCCATAGCTCGGTAGCTCTAAGTTGTATTGAAATGACTAAAAACATTGGAATGGAAATAAAAATTTACATTTGGCATCTGAGACTTTGTTGGTGATATCAAGCCAATTATTTACATCAGTTTTAACTCAAATCCAGGTGATTTTTAAGGACTGGTTAGTTTCTGCCCATCTATCAGAGCCAGTGTGATTCTTCTGGACTCTATATCTTTTTTCTGTCTCTGTAATCAGTTAGGCTCTCAGCTCTTGCCCACAGACGCACAGGCCACCATAACAAATAGAAACTTCTCTAAGAGTGGGAAAACTAAAATATCCTTGAGTCTCATACTTTCTAAGAGTATGAGCTATATTCTATTCAGCTATAACCAGTTGTAGGGCAGTGATTCAGAAAGACAATTAGACAGTACATACTTATTTTAAAAAGACATAAAACTGATAATGTATTTAAACACAATTAGCCTAACAAATAATTCCCTAACCCTTCACATATGAGAAAGCATATGTGGACTGCCCATTGCAACCCCAGGGAATCATGCAGGCTGAATGTTTTCTATTAAATTTTCTTGTTATTGTCCTAATTTTAACTTGATTTCACTTGGATAAAAATGTTGAGGAGGTGGAAATGAGAGAGAAGTTCTCCCACTTGGTTTTCTTCAGGTCCCCCACTTCTTAGGTGGGGGTTGTCCCTCCCCTAACACCTCCCAGCAAATGGCTCCGAAAGCAGGGTTTTATTCAGGAAACAATGTTGCTTTTTATTTAAAATGTGCTTTGGTTTTTATATTAGTTCAATATACACATTGAAGTGGTGTGTTTACCTGTTAATATAATGACTTGAAAGTCATACAAAAATGGATACATAGGCCACTTGGATGAAATTACGCTATTTTTCCATAAAATTACTTGAATCCAGCTTATGTATTTTGTGAACAAACATTTCTTATTAAATAATTGATTGTTACTTGAAAATTTGAAACTGCCAAACTACAGCAATTTAAACACTGGATGATAGTTTTAATTTCTTGATACGTAGGTGTGTTTCTAAGTAGGTACAGATGAAATGCCCTTGTCATGTAAGCAGACAATCAACCAATCAATCAACCAATAAAAATTTTAGTTTCAGCTAGGTATTTAATGTTTGTCTGATCCAAATAATACCATTAAAATAGGCAGAGCGATTCTCGGGCCAACATGTTTGACTCTTGCAAAGTGCAGGTCTTTTGCAAATGAGAATAATAGGCATAAATATTACACTCATCTAATTATAAGACATCTTAAAGGGTATCTCTTTAGGCAGCAAAATTACCAGTTCTTGAGTTCTTCTGCATTACTTTATGTGCCCAAATTGAGGAAATTTTCCTTACTCCTACAAATTCTCTAAAGTTTTCAGAAATAATAAATTGGGACTTAAGAGTTCATTGCCTACATTATCAAGAGCATATTTTAAAAATTATCAGCTTCTTTGTAAAGGTAAAAGTCAACTTAATTTTTTTTTTCAGTTAACTTTAGATCTTAGCCTGGTTATCTAAGTAGTATAACATGAAAATTAACTCAAATCTTTTCTTTTTGTCTTGTTATTAAGAGTTATTATTAAAAGCAAAAAGAAAAAGAAAATAACACAAATTTTGAACATTGGAAAGTCACAGTTAATAAAGTTATTCTAAGTTAGAAACTAAATTAGCATGTGTAGCTGAACAACTTAATTGGCTGGCTGGGTAACTTAATAAATAAAGGCTCCTTATAAAAAGGAATATACTCAGTGAAAATTTATGCATACTGGGTCAAATTCTAAATGTTAAGAAAGCTTTCAAAATAGATTTTATCCACATTCTATGAAGGGTTTGGGATTTCAAAATATTAATATTGGGCTGGTGAAGTATGATTCTAATGATCAAAATAAACCATAGTCACACATAGGTATTAACTAAGTTTTTACACTAGTGAGATATTTTATACCATTGAACTGTGGTAATATAAATAACTTGTCTGAGAGACATAGCTAGCAGGCAAGATATCTTTTAAATTCTTTTCCTTAAGGTTCACTTTTCCTTTTCTTTAAAAGACAATTCACTACTATCTCCTTTTGCAAATCTTCACCCAAATGTTGCTTGCCCCAGGAAGCTCATAGCTCTAGCCTCTGCACTAACTGTGCTTTTTGCTATTACTGTGTATGCAGCACTCTCTTCTAATTGCTCTCTCATAAATCTACCTCTTCCACAGAACTTTATCTAATTTTTCTATTTTGGGTGTCTGTCCCAGTGCCCTGCATGCATAGGCATTTACCAAATGTTTGAAGAAGGGGTTAAGGACTGATAGAGCATGAGAAGATTCCTTCACTGGAGCAGTCCTGATATCCAGAATGCTTCTCCTCCTTGGACTGACACTTTGCTATTAATATTGACTATTAATAGGATACCTTTGCTCTTGAAATCTTTCATTCCTTAGCAACCACATATTCTAGCATTATTAAGTTAATCCCAATGTCAAATATTTGTCTTATTGCCAGACCATGTCGGATTATGCTCTGATATTTATTCAGTTCAGAAAATATGGTTACCACACCCACTCTGCATGTTTTTTCTTTCTTTGTTTTCCAGCACAGACTCTTTTCCTAGGGATCTAAAGAGAATAGCTGTTATTTCACCCTCTTATAACAGGAATTGTTAAACTGATCTTCAAGCTCTTGCCAGAGTTATAACTATTGGGTTGCAAAGTGGCATTTAAACTCTTCAGAGAGCTCAATACGAACTCTTGAACAATAAAACTTTGCATGGAAGAAGATAAAGATCTTTACTTTGAATTTCATTTCTTCTCCACAGTGTTTATTACTATCTAATTTCCTTTCTTTTCTACAGGCTACTAGGCTGTCTTGCTTTAGGTTCAGCTCATCAGTGTTAGGGTTCCATTATTCACTTGTCTAAAGAAGTGTAGACCAGGAAGATCACTTCCTGGCCCTTGTCTTTCCAGGGTCCATAATTTGATCTTCAGTCTGGTGGGTTTCACAGGCTCTTCAATATTTTTTCATTAAGTCCTTTAATAAATGCAAATTTCACCACTATTTCTATGAAAAAGAAAGCCTTATTTCCAAGAAAAATGCCAGTCAACCAATGCTGTTGGTACCTTCTTTTGGATTTTGTTCCATAAAGTATCTCTTATTCTCCTTCCTCAATCTCTGTATCATTAATTTTATTACACTATCCTCAAATATGCTCAAATAACATTTATGTTAAAATACAAAAATAGAATAATGACAAAAAAGCCAAACTTATTTGGAACTACCTTCTCATTGACATTTAGCTAATATCTTTACTTCTCTTGACCTTCAAACTGATCACAATACAGTATAAACTTGTTGACTCCACATCCTTATCTTTTAAACATTATTAATCCTCTGCAATGTAGCTTTCTCTCTGGATATGCCACTAAAATGTTCCCATGTAGGCCACCAAAGATCTCTTAATTGCAAGGACCTTATTTACCCTACTCAGCCTTCATTCATATGGTTGTTTATTTCTCAAGCTATTTCATTGCTTCTACAGCTGCCCATGATTTGTCTGTCGCTTTTGTTGACTGTTGTTCCTCTGTATACCCCTTAAATATGAACATCCTTCAA